AACAGGCAGGGCCAGGATTTGGATTGATTTTATCACCACATACTCTCTTTCAATATATGACTAGTATCCAGCCATTAGGACACAAACATTAATGTGGAGCTGTGGTTCTCAAAGTGTGTGTCATGGACCAGCAGTGACAGCATCACCTGGGCACTTGTTAGAAATGCACATTCTCAGTCCCCAGCCAAGACCTGCCCAATCGGAAGCTCCGGGTAGAGCCCAGCAGTCTGCCATCGCAGGTCCTCCAGTGGTTCTGGTGCACGCTCAGGTGTGAGCAAGAGAACGTGGTAGGAAAAGCCCTCACCTAGGAAGCCAGCACACCTGCAGACTCAGTGCGCTTCAGGATTATGATTTGAGGGCTTGTGTCTCAACCCAGGTAGATAGAAGTCTTCTCATCTTTAGAATGGGGACAGGGTCCCCAGTGGGGGTTGGAGAGCAGTAGATTAGGTGACTTTGACAGTTCATTTGAGCTCCGCATTTCCGTGACTGTAAGGCCGTGAAAACATGGTGCATCATAAGTAAAAAAGAATTGGTAAAATTATGCAAAATCAATTTATACCAGAGGTAGCAGAGGAAATTGGAAAGAAGTATGACAAAGAGTGGAGAATTGTAAAATTCCACGTGTGATGTTTTAAAACTAATTTTATAATAAATACACTTTAAAAAATACTGTCACTGCACAGCACACTAACAACGTGCTGGTTTCTGTAGGTCTCCGAATTAAGACAACAGCTTCGAATACGGGGCTTGCCCGTGTCAGGCACCAAAACGGCCCTCATGGACCGGCTCCGACCCTTCCAGGACTGTTCTGGCACCACCGTGCCGAACTTCGGGGACATCACGACGGTCACCTTCCCCGTGACACCCAACACGCTGCCCAATTACCAGTCCTCCCCCTCGGCCGGGGCCTTATCCAATGGCTTCTACCACTTCGGCAGCACCAGCTCCAGCCCCCCCATCTCCCCGGCCTCGTCCGACCTGTCTGTGGCCGGGTCCCTGCCGGACACCTTCAACGACGCATCCCCGTCCTTCGGCCTGCACGCGTCCCCGGCGCACGTGTGCACGGAGGAGAGTCTCCTGAGCAGCCTCAACGGGGGCTCTGTCCCCTCCGAGATGGACGGGCTGGACTCCGAGAAGGACAAGATGCTGGTGGAGAAGCAGAAGGTGATCAACGAGCTCACCTGGAAACTCCAGCAGGAGCAGAGGCAGGTGGAGGAGCTGAGGATGCAGCTGCAGAAGCACAAGAGGAGCAGCTGCGCAGAGAAGAAGCCACCGCCCTTCTTGGCTGCACCCATCAAGCAGGAGGACGCCGTCTCCAGCTGTCCTTTTGCGTCCCAGCAGGTATCTGTGCAAAGACAGAACAGCTGCTCGGAGAGTCAGCCCCCGGCCTGCGAGGCTGCTCCGCTCCTGCCCCTTGGAAAAGCTCACGGCGGGGAGTCCTCAGGTCAAAGCAACGTCCTTGCTTCCACGTTCCTCAGCCCCCAGTGCTCCCCCCAGCACTCACCCCTTGGGGCTGTGAAGAGCCCGCAGCACATCAGTTTGCCCCCGTCGCCCAACAACCACTACTTCCTACCCACCTCTTCCGGGGCGCAGGGGGAAAGCCACAAGGTCTCCTCACCTGCCGGCAGCCAGGTGTGCACCGCACAGGTAAGAACGCTTTGCACCTTGCACGGAGCGTCCCTCTATCTGTAGGTGGGATGGTGATTTCCAAGTGCTGAACAGCTGATGTTGGAAATTTCAATGTGAAGGATTTACCAGGAGCCCAGCAGCAACTCCCTGACATTATGATCCACAAGCTTCCCCACAGACCAAACTCACTGATTTTTTTTTTT